CATGGATCCAGCCTGTCCAGGTCCCTCTGTAGAGCCTTCCTACCCTCCAGCAGATCAACACTTCCACCCATCTTAGGGTCATCTGCAAACTTGCTGAGGGTGGACTCAATCCCCTCATCCAGGTCATTGATAAAGATGTTAAACAGAACTGGGGCCAACACTGAGCCCTGGGGAACACCACCTTGTGACCAGATCTCTGTATGTCTCAAGTGGTAGAGCACTGGAAAACTCCCCTGAAGCTGAACTCTTCCTGTCTCATTACATTCCAGAGTTAACACCCAGGCAAGATAACTTCAGCAAGATCAGATAGCTCCAAACTATTGTTCTCCTCTACTTAGAAACACCATTATGTTGCACATATTCATATCATTCAAACTGTTTTTCCTAAAGCTGTTGGCTACCAACAGCCCTTTCCCTTGCAGAATCAAATGCTGCCATGAGTACTAATGCAGGTTCCCAGCCAAAAATTTTTAGACCCTCCCCAGTTCAGACAGATGACAAGCATACATGACTTAAAAGATGTTTTCGATAAATGAATTGTCGCTTCCTTGGTGGAAATCAGGCTCCTTCATTTCATTCTCACCGAATGGTCCTGGCATTGCTCCTGAGAGAGCAGGTGACTGGCAAGAGCTGTGGGGGAGGACCAGCAACAGAAAGGAGGTGGGACAAACCAGAGAAAACAAGTGAGCCAGCACAGTGCTTCTTCCTTCCACCAGCAACTTGCAAGGGGATAATTAACAGGATTGACTATTTACCTGAGGATGAATCTGTGGTTTATCACATGTAGCCTCAAAATCCAGCACTAAGAAGTAGTGATATCTCTGTGGAGGAAAGGATGACATTGCTGCCATGGAAGCTCCAAAGCCGTGGGACGCCAGTTTCCTGCTTACGATGGAGCTGTACCCTTTGAGAACACCAGCCGGGAGGAGGGAGCACACAGCTTGTCTTGCCCTTTGAAGTAAGTTTTGGGGAAACTTTGCTGCTCCAGTATGGAGGAGTGCTATCATTGAACATCCAGAGGCATCTGAAACTGAAGACAGACTCACGTTACTCATGCACACATACATCTCATCTCTGCTAGTATCTCTTCACTGGCCTCTGTCAGGGATTTTCTGTGTGCTTCCTGGTGGAGGTTCCAGCATCTCAAACCTGAAATAACATAGTAACCTGCTCTAAGCATGACAGATGACATTTGGACTGAGCTCAAGGTGTCCAGAATCATGGGCAACTGGAAATTAACCTCTACAAACGTCTCTAAATTAAGAACTATGAGACACACAACAGTCATTGCTCCAGGCATCAGATCACAACCCCCTGCTTTTTCCATAGCAGAACACAACACAAACCACTTAAGCATAGAAAATCTGATCTAAACCCCATTGAAATTTCTGAGGAGGCCTTTTGCCTTTTTGTATACAATGCAACTTCTAATACATGGTAGGAATTAAATACAGCAGTACACATATCAACACTATAACCCATCCAAACAGTTTGGCCCTAAAACGCCTGTTAGTTGCACCAAAACCTCCCACTTCCATTACAAATCCACACGTCTGGTGGCTGGAAAGCTTCTCCCCAGGGAAGTTCTCATTTGCTCTGTGTATGAGGTTTCTCAGAGATGTGATTCTAGTGCTATGCTTGATTTCTTACTTCAGGCATTTCTCAGAGGAGGATATTGGTTCAACAAACCCATATGTGAACCGCAGGGATTGCAGGAACTGTAAAACATAAGACTCTATAGGTTACAGTCTCCCTCCCAAAAGAGTACCTCACGGATTTTAACAGATTTATTACAATGAGGTGTTCAAGCCCAGCTCATGGAGGTGTTCCACAGCTGGGTTACAGTGACCGATAGCAAATGAGGTGAACCACAACAACCCAGTCCTCTTGAACAAGGATATGAGTACCCCCTTTAACTATATATATATTATTTATATTTAAAATCCATCCTCACGGTTGGTCCCACTATTTGTGGCTCTGGGCAAGAGCTCCATTGCACCACATGCCACCCACCCGCCGGGCTTCTGAGCCCAGCCTCCCCGCGCCTGCGCTTGCTTTTTGCTCCGCTGCGAAGGGCTGGAAGCACCCACCGTGAGAAACAGAGCCGAAACGGGCAAGGCGAAACGAACTCGCCGCCCACGAACAAAGTTGCTGTTTGCACAAAAGACAGCGTTTGCTCTCTCCCATCCGTTAGTCCGTCAGGTAAATAATGCACGTGCCAAAACACACACTTAATGAGGTAAATAATATGCCTTGAATAACGGCTAAATCTGTATTTACCTGCGAGACCAGAGAAACTCGGAAGGACCAGATTAGGAGATAATTGCGGCTGAGCAGGTTGTGTGCTTCGAGTAAACACGCATTTGGTAACCTTCCCTTTCCAAGGTTTTGAGTGAAAGGCAAAATTCAAAGGAGGTGAGATGTTTAAGACGGAGCCAGTGCCCACGCTGCCAGTTCCATGGCGTAAATGCATCCCCACCTTGTGGCTATCATGTTTTGGGGGGCTGCTTGCTTTATTAAAGCAGTGTGCCAGGCAGCAGGTACCCAGAAAAATGAAAATTCAAGTTACAAAACCATAACAAAGAGCCCAACATTGCATTTATCCTAAAGGGGCTCAATTCTACCTATTGCTTTTCCATCTACAGCTTTTACTGTCATTAATAAATGCATTACAGCCAAACAGAAGTTAGTTATATTCACTTCTAACCTGCCCCAGATAAGAGATATTTAAGGTATACGCACTTTAAATCTTCAAGCTACCAGCTATGAATCTAAAGGCCCATCACAGCAAATATAACATCTCGGAATAAAGCAGCTTGTAAGTTAGTTGCGGTAAAACGTGGTCTTTAGCCTACTGCATAAAGTGAGATATACAGTTGGAGTGGGGGAGGCAGGCAGGCTCCAACCCCTATATCAAACACAGGCAATAAAACATACATTATCCACCCACACACAGCAAGATCAGTGCCTCTCTAACACATCTCAACAGGCAAGACTAGGGCACGAGACATGAACCCCACGGATCTTCAGGCTGCAGTGGTGCAGTGGTTCCCGAGCCACCTAGTCCACATGGCAAAGACAAACCGGCCATCTCGGCAGGAGTCAGGCACATCACCACGTGGACACGGCAGCACCGCTCCAGACCCTGGCCGGCCTGTGTCACACAGGTACCGTGGGACATCAGCAGAGGGAAATAACAGCTAACATCTACTGCCTGCTTACACTAACAGCTTCTGCAGGCAGTCCATGTCTAATGACAGCATCAGGCTCCCCATCCTAAAAGCATCCCTCCCCACCCTCCTGCGTAATGGAGGGAGCGATGCTCTGAGCAAAGGTGCACGAGTGGGGTATTGCATGCCGATTCCCCCACGCAGACAGCATACAAATACGAGCAACCCCACTGCAAACGCCACGCTTCCAGCCAGATGAAGTTTTAACTGCATGTTTACCCAGCCACTGCTCTAGGTGCCCTGGGAAGACCTCACATCATCTTCTCTGGCAAGGTCAGAGTGTCTCAGAGCACAAGATAGCTGGTGAGCAAACACACTTTATTAGAAGTCATGTAAAGCATTTACACCGGCTATGACAATGCAAAGCGCTAGTAATTACCCTTTTTTTTTTTTTTTTTCCAACAGACAATAATGCAAGCAATGCAGCTTCAAAAACTGGAAACCCAGCTCTATCCATATAAATCCACATGTTCAATGATTCCGTTTCCAAACCTACGTAAAATGCCACATATATATTTCTTATGCACATAGGGTCAGATTATAATCTCAGACAGTGCAAGATGTCGCATCTGGCATTCAACCCTACTAGGTTAATATTTCACATCACGCAGCTCCAGCTCCTTACACAGATACACATGAAACGTAATGGGACCACGAGCTGAGGCTGGACTTCAGGAATTATTTTGACAGATTGTACACAGACCTAGGAAAATGTGACAGCACTTTACATTTGCAACACCCAATAACACAGGAAATGGCCACGCGTGGTAGGTTTCAGCTGGAAGATAAAGTTTGCGTTATGGGCTGTATAACAGCACATGCCACATGTGACATCACTGGCTATAATCAGCAACTGTCTTTTAAAAATAATTTTAAAAAAATGTAATCTCTGGACATCAGACAGCCACAGGTAACAGGACAAGCTCGGGCTGATAACAGTTCTTGCTTGTCTGTGGTCCAAGCACCTGGCACAGGAGCACGACAGTTCAATCACCAGCAAGTAAGGAAAGCCAGGAGGAAGGCAAGTGCCAGCCGTAGCTGCCAGCTTGCCAGGGGCCCCACTGACCGAGAAGCAGAGAATCTGCACTGGTGGCTGTCACACTCCAGGCTTCCCACAGGGGAAGCCGCTTAGTGGCAACCACAGGCAGGAAGGAACAGGATGGGGAACTCCTGCCACACGAAGGACACCAGTGACAGAAGCCAGAAGGGCACTCTAAGTGTTCTCCCCCACCTGCAGGACAGCCCCAAAGCCACAGAGAGAGACGTGCACCACTCAAGTTGCAGAGGATTCAAATTCAATGGCCAGACAAGTCAACCTATGAACTTAAGCTTAATGGGTTCTTTGCACCTAACATTAATATTTACTTTTTATAACCATATCTAGAGAAAATCATCTGGCAGCAAGAGAAGGCATAACAGCTTGCCTTTAACCCAAAAATAGTCCCCTTCGCTGTCCAGTTTGATAAGGTGATGCAGGGAGGGGGCGAGAAAACAAACACCTAAGTTCAGGTTGGAGGGGCGACCCAAGAAATTATATATTTTACGTGAGCCTTCATTTACACATTAAATTACTTTGTTATGGCAATATGGCCCTCCACCATATTAAAAAAAATAAACAAAAAAAAATCTAAAGGACAAGACAAACTAAAAATAAAAAATAAAAGCAAGCAAGCTTTGGGATTCATACGCTTCAGTTTATTCCCTGTGCAAAGCCTGGGTAGGGGCAGCTGAGACTCCTGGCCTCCAATAGACAACTGAACTCAAGGCTAGAGCAACCAAAACCAATCCAAAATGTAAGTCAGGTTTGTCTTATTTTATTACAGTGTCTTATTTTATTAAATTATAAAGAGGGTAATAAAGATGCTTTTTGAGAACAAAACCACATACATTTAGCAACACCTGGAACAGAGTATAACAAAAAATACAGGACTTCATTTTTGTAGCTGTTCAAATGCATACTCAGAGGTCAAATGTGAGCCCATATTTCAGTTGTGTGAAGATATAACTGAAGAACAATAGAGATAACTCCTTTTTTTTTTAAATCAACCTTAACCTAAAAACAAATATTTCATTAGACGAACTACAGTCCAAAAACGACAAGTAAAACAAACAACAAAACACAAAGCTTTTAGAACTGTTTTAATAAAGTAACATGATTTTAGACAGGTGAATTTGCTTCTTTAATTTGTTAACCTCACAGTATCATCCCTTGAACATGAATCCAGTACACTTCCAGGGTTGCACTCCCTTCACTTTCGGCTGGGTTTGTCTCCGTCACTGCTAGACAGCCAAGCCCATGGTTTGGAAAATTCATAACTTAACTTTCCCAAAGCATTGCCATGGATGCCTATACGCTGTCCCATCATTATTCAGCTCAGACATAACTTGGCATCAGTCATACTTTTTTTTTTTTTTTTTTTTTTTTTTTTTACAGCACTCCGCAATCACACCCAACCTCTTCCCACTACAGATGAAGACGTCCCTGTTCCCAAGAACTTACAGTCTAAAATTAGATACAATACAACAAGTGAGGGTAACAGCAGAGAAGAATGAGGGTTACAGGAGCAAAGTGAGGCAACCGCTCATCCAGGAGATATGTGCATCTCAGTAGTTCAATTAAAAAAAAAAAATTCACTCTATATAGGCACCGGCTTCCCCCTATATGGGCATTACGGAAGAGATAAGTGAACACAGAAAGGGTTGACTACAGGATGGAGGGCACTCTCGGGTTAAGGAAGATCTCTCCCATTTCTTGAGCTCATTCTTCCCGCTGTGTTCCTTGGCCGATATGTCAAA